GTTAGAGCAAGGATGATACACCGGAAACAGAGAAAAGTCAGACAAACCCTGTGAGAGAGAAACTCCAGGCTGTTGGGGATGATCAGTCGATCAGATTTAGTGCTGGCCACTGTAGGGAAATCACATCTTTTAGTAGGATAGAAGGTCAGCCAAGAAGTAATGGCCAGTTTATAAGCCATATATATCTCATTGTCACCTAGCCCTTGGATTGGGTAAATCACCAAGGTCTTGCCTATGTTTTATATAACTAAGAAAGCATTAAATTCTGAAACTTGAAAGAGTCATTCATTTACAGTGAGTCTCAATTTGGACATGCAGTGTCACTGGTTTTTTAATTATTTTATTATTGTCTATTTTTTAATTAGGGTATAATTCTCATTTATAGCTGTCATAAGCAAAATATGTTTAATATATTCATATTGTGGAAACTCTATCCTAACCATACAGAGACTTGACAGGTGGAATTGGGGTGGATTTTATTATGGGACATATATCATCTTAGGAACAGAAAGTGGAGTGATGGCTTTAAATTAGGAAAGCAAAATTATGTCCATAAGGATGGCTTGATTAAAATACTATTTCCTTTTGGAATAGTGTAAGATAATCTTGGCATTGTTTCCATAGCTTATTTTAATTTTCAGTTTTAAAGAGATTATTTATTGAATTTTTACTATGTGCCCAACACTCTTTAGAAATTTAAAAACAAAACAAGACTCCTACCATCTAAGAATTTATGGTAGAGACCATGTGATGTGTGATGTGGTTCTTGTTCCAGTGGAGATATGTGTAGGCAAGACCTCTGAGTTACGAAGCCCACCCCTTACTGGGGATCAAATAAAAGTCTTCATAGAGAAGGTGGCTCTCTGCTGTGATGAAATTAGTTCTAATTATAAGAACATTTCCCTAGGACTTCCCTGGTCCAGTGGCTAAGACTCTGCACCCTCAATTGAGGGGGGTCCGGGTTCAAACCCTTGTTAGGGAACTAAGATCCTGCATGCTACAGCTAAGAGTTCACAAGTCACTAAAGAGCCTATATGCCCAGCTAAGACCTGGTACAGCCAAATAAAGAATGATTTTTAAAAAATTTTTTAAAGAACATTTCCCTAATCAGTCATCCGTTTACTTACAAATTACATAAACGTTTATAGGGTGCTTGCTATAGTCCGGGCCAGGCTCTGGAGACTCAGAGATGATTAAGGCACATTCTGTGCCTGCAAGGAAGTTGCAGTCAAGTTCAGCAAAGGACAACACCAGGCCACTGCAGCTCAGGATGTGCTCGGTGATGTCGGAGGACCTAGACGGGAAACAGTGCATCCCTGTGGGGAGCGGAGACTTTTCAGGGAGAGATGACATCTGAGCTCAGTCTGGAAGGAAGCTCCGGCATTAGGCAAAGAGGGATGAAAGTGGCATTTCAGACAAAGGGAACAACTTTATATGCAAAATCCTATAGGCAAAGGAAAGCAGAGCATACTAGAAAGAATATACAAAATATATACTGGAAAGAGAACACAATAAATGGATAAGATTGGAAATGTTAGCCTGACTTTATTCCAAAGGCCAAAAATAGCAAATCTGATCATGCCATTCTCTGGCTTAAAACCCTTTCATTGCTTCCTGTTGCCTATTCCCCATCTGAAGTGTTTGGGAATATATGTGTGCCTGTGTGTATCTGTCTGTCTTTGTGTGTTAACCATGTTTTTTTTTTCTTTTTTCCTGTACTGTGTGATACTATGATATTTTGGGAGTCTCGTGGACCCCAGAAGGGACTGCCCCTCTAGGAGTTAACTCCTAGAGAGGGCAAACAAAAAGCACTCCTTTGTTATGAAACAAACCAACCCAGAGCCTATACCCCAAACATTCCCTTTATCAAGCACTCAAACACTGAGCCAACACTCCCCCTGCCCTGTATCACCCCAGGTTCAAGTACCAGACAAGAAGGCACTGCCTCCGCAGAACTCACCAACATTATCCAGGGGGCCAGTCATAAGCCAGCTTAGTGCACGGTCCCCGCCGTGCCTGTGCCTTCCTGCTAAGCCCCCCACAGTGTCTCTGGCCTGCTTACCTACTTTGTCTCCTGCCAACCCTGGTGCTTCCTGTGTGATCCTGCAAGCTTTGTCTCCTTATCCGTTGACTTCACAACACCTCACTAGAACAAATCCTGGGTGCATTTTTATACTGTATGCAGGGGGCATGGAAAGGACTGCCATGGTTAGAAGGGTGCTATGGGGCGCCTGGCCTGGCATCATTGTGCAGAACAGATTACAGTGCAGTGAAAGGAGACAAGAAGAGCCGCTAGGAGGCTGCTGCAGGAATGCAGATGACAGCGGGTGATGCTTGATGGAGGCAGTAGCAGTGCAGGTAGGGGCAAGCCTTAGAGGACAGATTCTTTGAAAGGAGACAGGACCAAGGCAACGCTAACTTGATTGGGTGCCACTGTAGGAGGCAAGGAAGACTTGAAGATAGGTGGTTTCCTTTTGGACACCTGCGTGGCTGCAGTGCTATTTATTGAATTAGACACGTCAGGAGGAGCAGGTCTGGGAATAGGAGTGGAAAGATGACACCCTCGGTTTTAGATCCATTGAGATGAAAGTCTGTGGAGATGACCAAGTGGGAAATTGGATCAATGAGTCTAGAACTCAGGAGACAAAGCTGGTGTGGAATTAGGGCTTTAGTACCATCAGCATAAAGAATAAGGCTCAAACTGTAGGAATAAATGAAGTCTCCAGAGTGATGGAGAGGCAGGGACAGAAATTTAAGAGCAGTGAGATTTGAGGGAAGGACAGACATGGGCCTCCAGGAGAGCCTGCTGGGAAACACTGGAGAAGGCAGGAAGCCAACCAGAAAGGATTCTGAATGAGGAAGGGGGCTATCAGTCTCAGTGGTGATGGGCAGGGCCAAGAAGGTCAAAAGACATCCAAAGGTAAGGTTAAGAGTCAGGTCACACTTCGGAGAAGTTTGTGTGATTGATGGTCATGGCACGTCCTTCACATGTAGACGCCCGATTTCAGGGCATGAGAGAGTGCTGAGGGTGTTTTAAATCTTCAGTGCTATTGATTCCTTTAGGTCACACCGACTGTTGCTCCCATTAAGGATGAAAACCACTGGTTTTGTGCACATCCAGGAGAAGGCAATGNTGCTCCCATTAAGGATGAAAACCACTGGTTTTGTGCACATCCAGGAGAAGGCAATGGCAACCCACTCCAGTGCTCTTGCCTGGAAAATCCCATGGGCAGGCAAGCCTGGTGGGCTGCAGTCCCTGGGGTAACGAAGAGCTGGACATGACTGAGCGACTTCACTGTCACTTCTCACTTTCATGCACTGGAGAAGGAAATGGCCACCCACTCCAGTGTTCCTGCCTGGAGAGTCCCAGGGACGGCGGAGCCTGGGGGACTGCCGTCTACGCGGTTGCACAGAGTCAGACACGACTGAGCGACTCAGCAGCAGCATCAGTGTACATCCAGCATTTCCCTGAAATCGCCAGAAGCGGCGAGGCCGGAGAAGGGATGCAAGTGGACTCATTCACGGGCCTCCTGAGCCTGAGTGTAAACACGCCACGCTTCCTGTGAGTCGGGCGCCCCCTCCTGGTTCCCTAGTGGTCGGAGGCTGCGTTCCAGGGGGTTCGTTGGGGGACCGTCCTGCCGAAGATCTTTTATAACCCAATTTCCTTTATTGTTTTTTTTCTTTCCAGACAAATGGACTTGACTTTTCTAAAGACTTCACAGAACTGCTAATTTGGCAAAAGAGTGGGTTGTGAGAAAAGTGCTAATGGATCAGGATGGGGGGTTGCCATGCCTGGCACTCAGTTAGGACTTCGACAAGGTTTGTGGGTTGAAGGAGTGAGTGAATGAATAAATGAAACTGTATTAGAGAGTGCCGGCATGTTGTACTGCATGAAGGGATGGGAGCCTCATGGCTGCCTTTTCCTGCTCCTCTCCTTCCCCTCTACCCTCTTCCGTAATGCCAGCTCTCTGGGCAATTTTAGTCACCTTTTCCTCCACTAAGAATCTTTCATATTAAAGAGAAGGTGGTTCCAAATTCAGTATTTTCCTTTATGAGGAGGAATGATGAGGATTGGCTCTACGTGGATGTTCTATTTTCTTTCTTTCCTCTTCTTTTTTTCCGTTTTAGCTAGATTATAGTGACAGGGAGGGAAAACATCACACCAAATGGCAATGGTGGTGTAGCTGCAAAAAGGACAGAAAGGGATTGGCACAAAGTGTAAGGAGTAAAAACACAGTAGAGCATCACAGAGTGATGGACTTAAACAACTGTGAAGATGCAGGAAGGATTTATCAATACAAACTTTTTGTTTCTCAGAATAAGCAAATCATAGAGACTTAAAGTAGATCAGTGGTTGCCAGGCACTAGGCTGAGAGTGGGATCAGTACAGGTTTCTTTTGGGGGTGGTGAAAGTGTTCTGGAATTAGATAGTGATAATGGTTTCCTTTGCAAATACATTATAAATCACTAAACTGTACAATTTGTAATCAATCTTGATTTCTACTAGAACACAAATATGTGGACAATTAATATTGCTTAAGGGGTGAAGAAAGAGGGGACGATCAGGGAAAATCAGGGGCAAGGGACATTACATTTTTCTTTGAAGGATGTGTTGTAGTCTGTTATACTCATGCTCCATGAAAACTGGCTATTGTGCTCACCTTTATACCTCAAACAGTATCTGGCACAAAGAGAAAAGGGAAATAGCCTTCCAAGCAGAAGAAACACATTAACAGAGAAAAGAGAAATGAGCGTGGTTAACACATATTCAGTTAAGGTCGCTCTCGCTGGTATAACCAGTGAACCCCGAAGGGTTTAGTGATGTCGCATACAATAAACTTATTTCTGGCATGTAATAAGCCCGGTGTGAATGGTCCTGATTAGCTGGTGGTTTTCTTTCACATGGTAATTCAGGGACCCAGGATTCTCACATCTTGGCGCTGTAGCTTCACCGAGGGCCTTGGAACATTCTGCATCCCGCTGAAGGATGGGAAAAACAAGATGGCGGACGCGCACTTCCGTATCTCCGTCACACGTCACTTCCTTGAGCATAAATGACGCACAGCACTAGCTCTCACGTCTAAGAGGCGAGAGCCTCTCATGCTTTCCCACCTGGAAATGAGGGCAGCCTGGAAACGCAATCCGTGGTTAGGCGGCCGCCTCCCAGAAACCAGTCTGTGACTTGGAAGTGTGTCAGTCGCTCAGCCCGACTCTGCGAACCCACGGAAGTAGCCCGCCAGGCTCCTCTGTCCATGGGACTCTCCAGGCAAGAATCGTGCAGTCAGTAGCCATTCCGGTCTCCAGGGGATCTTTCCGACCCAGGGATCCAACCTGGGTCTCCTGTGTGGCAGACAGATTCTTTACCATCTGAGTCACTGGGAAAACCCCTATAACATGGATGCAGTGGACAAACCGTTGTCGAGTTAGCTCTCTCTGCCGCAGGAAGAATAAGTTCATGAGGCAAAAGGGTAGGAGGTAGGAGTGGGAAGGTAAGAACCCTGGGGCGACATTATGTTCGTTTGTAGGAGCTTACACGCAAGAGAAAGCCCAGAGGCGATGTGAAATACTTTTTCTGAAAAGAAACAACTCTAGCTGTAGGAAGCTTATGGTGTGGAGAAGAAATTAAAAGTAAGACCCAGCGCGCCAAAGCTCTGAATGCATGTTTCTGTCATCACGCTGCGTGTTTCTGTTTCTCTCCAAAACCTCTTTAAATGATGAGGACCTCAGCGGGGTGTCTCAGATGGAAGCAGTGTCCTCTTCTGCTTTAGCAGCACTCTGACCTAATTGGAATCTCCTTTGTTTTGGTCTACAATTCTCCCTTTATGTAGAGCAGAAAGTCAGAATGTACCTGCACTGTTACCAAGACTGCCAGTTAAAACCCCTCAGCTCTTCTTTTTTGCAGCTGGTGAAAATTACATGGGCTAAAACATTTCAGTTGACATAAATAAAATGTTCACCAGCAGTGAGGTTGTGTTCCATAAAGAATTAGAACTACTGGAGGCTGGTACTGCCCCAGGATTGGTACTTAACACAGTTTGTGAAAGACTACATTTTAAATTCAAGTTTTAGAAAAATCTTCAAGCACCATCTTGGCACAAGCTCCCCCAATGTTTAGGATGTTTGAAAAGCAGCTCATGTTTTCCTTCCAGAAAAAGCTTTGAAGATTTAATTAACTTTTGACCAAACTGGTCTACATTTGCAAAGGACTAAGTGGTTGGCTCTATGAAGGACCTTCATTTCTTAAAAAAACGTAAATCTAAAAGATGTTTATTGGTTTAGCAGTTCCTAATTTGCATCCACTCTGATCTTTAAAAGCCATCCAGCCACCTTCTCAGATATGTTCTGAGTAGGAAACTGTACTATATAGGCATGAAAGCACAAAAGTGTTGGGGAGAGTGGGGTGGGATCTGAATGGTTCTTTCTCTTCACCTCTCTCCTCCTCCCTCCTCCACTACGCTACCTTGGATGTGCACACAAGTAACAAAAGAGTTGGGGTTTTCTTAGGGGTCCCGACACCATCAAATCTTGTCAAAGCCAGATTCTTGATACCCTGATTCCAATAAATCAGTGTGTGAAATGCTGGAACACAAGCTGCTTCTCCTGTTCTTGGCGTCATTTGTGTACACATCAGTCTTAGTTCTCTCCTTCCCCTCCATCAAGCCCACTGTCAAATCAGTAGGAATCTCATCTTGAGACTATGTGGTTCAAGCAGGAGCAGCTGCTCTGAAAACCCTGGTGGTAGCAACTCTACTCCAGAGGAAACAGTGTGTGTAAAAATGATTCGTAAAAGTAATCTATTGTCATTATGGAGTCCAGCTTCTGCAAATACATGAATCTTCTCCATAAAAAACAAGCAGACTCTAGTGGTGATTGTATCCATTTGCCACCCCTTGGACCCTCTGCTCCCTCTAGGCAGATGCCCTCATCCACTAGTTTGTTTCCTGAGACCCAGGCTCTTTGGTGAGCCATCTCCTCCCTACCTCTCCTTCCTGCCCCAGAGAAGCCATGATCCTTCTTCCAGGGTGGGATCGCCTCCTTTTCCCTCTGGAACCTCATTTCATCCGTCATTAATCTCTTTTCTGACTTAATAACTTTACATTTGCAGTCTGTTTTTCGTACATGGATAAAACAATCAAGTCCTTTGCACTTTCTAATGTTTTCTTGGCACCCGTGGTTTAGCTGTTCTTGAATCTTTCCTGCCTTCTTCCCTTCTTTTCCCTCTCTTTCTGTACAGAATTGTTTTATACTAGTTTTCCTCACTTCTCTTCCNTAAATGAAGAAAATGCTCAACAGCATCAAGCTGAAAAGCTGTGTACAGCAGAGGGAAGTCTTTGCTGACAAACCGCTGTGTTGGCTGAGATGTGGATGAGTGAGAGCTGGCAGGCAAGGGCGAGAGGTCACATAGGTGAGGGTGAGAGGTCACATAGGTGAGAGCGAGAGGTCAGGTAGGCGAGGGCGAGAGGTCACATAGGTGAGGGCGAGAAGTCAGGTAGGCGAGGGCGAGAGGTCACATAGGTGAGGCGAGAGGTCAGGCAGGCGAGGGCGAGAGGTCACATAGGTGAGGGCGAGAGGTCACGTAGGTGAGGGCGAGAGGTCAGGTGGAGGGAGGAGTGTTACGGGAGAGGAGAGAGCATATACAAAGGCCCTGGGGTGAGAAGGGATGTGGTTCTTGATGCATTGAGGAAGGGCCGGAATAGGTCAGGCGGGCGAGGGCGAGCGGTCAGGCGGGCGAGGGCGAGAGGTCAGGCGGGCGAGGGCGAGAGGTCAGGCGGGCGAGGGCGAGAGGCCAGGTGGAGGGAGGAGTGTTACGGGAGAGGAGAGAGCATATACAAAGGCCCTGGGGTGAGACGGGGTGTGGTTCTTGATGCATTGAGGAAGGGCCAGAATGCTCAGCATGGCTTGGAGGCAAACACTGATAGAGGAAGGAAACTGATGGATATGAATAGGAGGCTACAGAGGCACATAGGGACCATGGGAGGCAAAGCCTTGCACTTGTGAGCAGGATTTTGGTCTTTAACAACAGTAGGGGACAATAGAGGCATTGTCAGATTTGCATTTTGAAAAGGTTACTCTGGGTATCTGTGTGAAATCTGAATTTTGCCTTTCTTATGCAAGGAAGCTTCCTGTTCATCTTCCCAAGGTGCCCGAATTTCTGTTTTTCAAAATAAGATAAAAAGTTTTTTTTAAAGCATTAAGAAAAACCCTCCTCCTTCCAATGATTATACACTATTTTCCTTTATTCTTTTCTTGATCTTCTATGTTAAGAATGTTTTCTCATTTCTCTGTATATCTCCTGAAACACAAAACTTGGATTTTATTTTGGTTTTCCTAATTTCATCATCCACATCTTGAAAAATCATGTGCCTCTATAATTACATCATCTATTTTTTTTTCTATTAGCATATAGTGAAAATTAGACTGACTCGAGTATAGCCAACAGAAGGCCTAAGAAAAATTAGTAAGTAGGCCGAATCATGTGTGTGCAACTCTTCCCCTTCCCTGGTGGCATTTTTTTTCTCCCATTCATGCCTCTCTGCCTTATCTGAATGCCTCCCTGGATTTGCGTTTGCCCTGTTTTTACATCAGCTACTTGCCTTCCATATCATGCAGAGTCATAGCTATTGTCAACCACTGGAGGACTGTGATGTTGAGATATACTTCATAATGACTCTCTACCCTACTATTCAAACTGGCAGGACAGTTAAAGATTTGGCAGAAGCTTATTAATTTGTTTTTGGAAAAAATTTATAAATATATGACCCAAGCCCTGGAGAAAAGGGAAACAACATGTATGTTTTGGTCCTGACTCCTTTAGAGCTATGTGATCCCAGGTAAGTCACTTTAACTGAATGACCCTGTTTCCTCATTTGTTGAACTCTAAAGAGTTTTCTTTTTTTTGGTCAGAGGAGAGCGGAGTCCTTGGATGGAATGTTGGATCTTAGTTTCCTGAACCCATGACCCCTGTAGTGGAGGCTCAGAGTCTTAACCACTGGACTGCCAGGGAAGTCTTGCTCATTTGCTGAACTCTTGATCCCTTCTCAAGTATAGAACAGCTTCTGTGCTTGTATAATTCTGTTTTATTGGCTGATCAAATCTGTGCCTAAAGATCTCCTCCCATAGAATTATTAAAGTTCGGTGGCTAATTCATCTGTGACAACAGAGTTACCAGTGAGAAGGCACAGTTTCAGAATGGAGACATTTGGAAAAGGTCCTAGTAAACTAATCTAGAGAATGCTTATTTTGGATTAAAACCAAGGAGAGGCTGGAATTTCACATCTAAAACCATTATTCCAGTCTGGTGCATGTTAATTTAAAAGCAGCCATCCTTGTTATCCCCTCAGGATCACATGTTGTAAGTGTTTATTTTTACCATGTCTTATCTTCGCTGTTGTATTTTTATCCTTTGGCTTCAAGGATGCCCTTCATCGAGAGGTGTGAAGACACAAATACTCCCATTTGAGAACATGCGGTGCTACATCCTTCCTGGTAGTGTTTTCAGTAAAAATAGTTTCTCTTGATAAAAATTATGGATAAAAATGTAAAAGCCTAACAGCCAGTGGCCACCTTAACAAACCGTGCATGACAACCTTCTGTGCTGGGAGACAAATGTGAGTTATAAGAGCAAACGGGTCATGCAGAGGGGCCCTGGAAGGTCAGCCTCCACTGACGGCCAGGGGCCTACTGAGGGGCGCCATCAGTTAAGAGTCCCACACAAGAATACAACTAGAGTTTTCCTAAATCAGCTGTTTGCTTGTAGCACCCAGTGGGAAATTTCTCAACTTACCTTAAGTAATGAAAAGGTTTAACAGAGGGCTGTAGATGGGGCCAAAGTCAAGAGACATTCTTCATAGTCATCCAGGCTTATAATCACAGCCCAGTCTCATAAGAATAGGAACCAGGTCCAAGGGGTCCTGGGAACACAGGCCTAGGCCACGTGTTCCTATAGTTGGGCTCTATAGTTCGTGTCTACTTCTTAATGGCCTGCTACCAATCGCTTTTACCCTCTTCTTTTTTTTGTATAATATCTGCTTATTTATTATTTCTGCTTCCCCATCTCTCTGCTTTGCACATGAACCACCATGGCTTTTATACACTCTATACCTTTCATATCCTGTTTCTGCTGATAAAATCCCCATTTTCAGCTCATTTTTTCCTACTGCAATTCCAAAGAGAATCAAATTGGCCTGGTTCATCTTTCCTTACAGAGCCAGGTCATGAACCCCTATTCATGGACTGACTGACCTTAGGTCAACTACCACACTTGGTTAAATGGGCTGTGACTAGAGAAGGAATCATATGAGTCCATAATTCAAATCCCACAATAGTCTAAGGAGTTGTGGGCAGAGGCTATTCCCCTAGAAGGGTAGTGAACATGAGCGATATCAGCATGATTGGTGTCTCTAATCCAGAGACACTCTGGGAGACATGAAAGGGCTCTACTTACCTGCCTCTTAAAATTAAGACAAAGCCTATAATGGGTACAATAAATAGTAGCTGCTGAAATGAGATGAAGTCAGGCAAAGGAGCTAATTGAAAAAGATGGTTCAATGGAAGAGAAGCTTCTAGGAACAACAGTTAGGGCAGGGAGAAGAGAGAAAAGGGGAAAGAGAAAGAGTGAGGGTCAGGACAGAGGGTGGCCCAGGGTGGTGGGAGACAGGGGTCGAGCTTGCTGAGGAAGCAGGGATGAGAGAAGGGAGGCGGAGTTTTCTAGTGAGGGCAAAGGGTGATCTTAGAGGTGAGTATCACAGAGCCTGGCTGCTCCAGGACTCAGGTTGTCATAGTGGTTATAACAGTGCTACTGCATTTTAAAATTCAAGTTAAAGTTTGATAACATTAAATGTTGAGAGTGTGGAGCAATGGGAACTGTAATACACTCCTGGCAAGAGTTCACATGCTATGAACACTTAGCAAAACAATTTAGCCTAACCTAGTAAAGTTGAAGATGCACATACTCATGGCCCAGCAATTCTACTTCCATGTATAACCTGGAGAAGCTCAGCTGTATATGCACTAATCCTAAATGCCAAAAACTAAAGACAGCCTAAATGTCATCAACAGCAGAATAGATAAAATGTTGGTATAGTTACACAGTGAATATAATGGAAATGAATCCATTTCAGTGATGGGCAACATATGTGAACCTTACAGAAACAAATGTTCATGAAAGGAGCCAGAGGGACTTCTCTGGCATTCCAGTGGTGAAGACTCTGCGTTTCCAATGCAGGGGGCACAGGTTCATTCTTGGTCAGGGAACTAAGGTCTTACATGCCATGGAGTATGGCCAAAGAAAAGGAGGAGCCAGAAATAAGAGAATATATAGCTTCATTTATGGAATTCCAAAATTGATAAAAACCAAGTTACCTTGTTTACAGACCTATATTTAACTGGCACCAAGAAAAAAAAGAATATACTTTTATCTTAAAGGAGAATTGTCCAGTTATGCCAGAATATAACATAGGATGATAAAAGCGAGTGCACAGTAAGTTGGAAAAGATAGAGGAAGGAAATTTTATTTTTCTTTATTTATGATTCTTCCAAATGATAAGTTTGACAGAAGCAATGAAATGTTTTTAAATGTTGATGAATTTGATTCAGTGTTGATAGCTTTATTTCTAAGATGAAGAAAAAATGTGTGGATTTTTTTTATCAGAAAATAATATGTAGGGGAATTTAAAAAAGCGTAAAACTGAAATTTAGTTTTCATTTTTGTTAAAATAAGAAATTGATTTATGAGTGGGCAGAATGTTCTTATTAAGAAATGGTAGAAATCATTCCAGTCACCTATGCATTTGGCCTACCAAACATTCCTTATATCACCAAAATAATTTTCATGATGAATAAAGCACAACTGAAGATATTTACAAAGGCTGGTACAATAACAACCAACAAATTTATTATTAAAAAATTAATTTCTCTAGGCTTAAAATACTCTTGTCAATTGATGACAATAATACCCTGTACTTTGAGCACATCCTTTAAAACCTCAAAGGTAATAGTAAATTTGCATGACTGTCCAATGTTTTCTTGACTAGTTCCCTACTGGAACACAAAGGAAATTTGAGTGTCAAAGGAAATGATCTTAATAGACAGGGAAGGTTTATGAATCATAATTAATGGAGCAAGAAATCTAATCACTGGGGATGCAACCTACTGAACTAAAAGGATAATTTGTATGAAAAAAAGAGAGATGAAAAATGAAATAGATGTGAACAACAACACCAAAAAAAAACAACTTGTACAGAGCCCCTGTGGACTTTGAGGCTCCTGTCCTGGTACGAAGGGTCTGAGCTCTGGGATCTTCACCTGATAAGGAGAGTGTCAGGACTGTGATGATGAGAGAAGCAAGTTGATGTGGAAAAAGGTTGCTTCCTAAATGCTGTGACCATCTGCTGGCCAAATGGCAAGATGTACTTTGTTCTGTGGATGAGAACAGTTTGGAATAAAGGTTACACTGTGAACAGATGCTAGAAGTCTCTTCTCAAGGAACTAAAATTCAGGGGCAAAATTAGCCGGAATCAAACTTTAAAAATGAGGCTTCAGAAAGGAAACAAACAATTCTGTGACCAGGAGCTAGCAACAGGTTTAGAACAGCACTTTGGAGAGGTTTCCACTGGAATAATCCTCATCACTGAGTCCTGACACAGTTATGACAATAACTGTTTCACTAAGGTGAGTGAAACAGACATTAAGAGCAAATAAGAAATGTGTGTTGTATATTGTGCTATTTTAAAAATAGGTGTCATTTTTGTGTTGTGGTCATAATGCATTTTTTTTTTTTTACCATAGTGTTTTAAGTCATTTGCCATCGAGTAGAATTTCTGCTCTTAAAGAGATCATTCAAAAGGCACTCCATGGTGAAGCAGAAGTCCCGTGATTCTGACAAGTCTAGGATTGCAGAAAGACCAGGACACCCACTCTTATTTGCTAAAGATGGGCTCTCCTTTAAACCTCAGAGGGGACTTTTAAGTCATAAACATTCAAGAGGTAAGTAAATAGGACCCAAGCTATAATCTACTCAGATCCTTTTGTTTTCACTGAAAGGAAAACCAAGGTACCATGTGACAACATAGCTTTGGCCGCAAAGCCAAAACTAAAGTCAGGCTTCCTCACTCCCGTTTCCTTAGTGTGATGGTGCTTTAGGCACCCAGCTGTGTCCGACCCTTCGCAGCCCCATGGACCACAGCCCGCCAGGCTCCTCTGTTTATGGGATTTCCCAGGCAAGAATACTGGAGTGGGTTGCCATTTCCTTCTCCAGGGGATCTTTCCAATTCAGGGATCCAACCAGGTCTCCTGCACTGCAGGTGGATTCTTTACTGCCAAGCCACTAGGAAAGCCCTGTTACATTAGTACAAACTCCCAACAGTTTCCTTGCTTGGCAAACCCTCATCCTCTGACGGATCTCATCACACTTTCTTGTTTATCACTGGCCCTAAGCTCCTAGTCACTTCCCAGGTGGCCTTAGAGGTAAAGAGCTAGCCAGCCAATGCAGCAGACTTAAGAGACCTGGGTTTGATCCCTGGGTTAGGAAGATCCCCTGGAGAAGGGAAAGGTAACCCAGTTCAGTATTCCTGCCTGGAGAACCACGTGGCAGAAGAGCCTGGTGGCCTACAGCCCACAGGGCCACGCAGTCGGACAGGACTGCAGTGACTTAGCACGCAAGCTCCAAGTGTAGAACCTTGTACAATTTTTTTTTTTTTACCATAGTGTTTTAAGTCATTTGCCATCGAGTAGAATTTCTGCTCTTAAAGAGATCATTCAAAAGGCACTCCATGGTGAAGCAGAAGTCCCGTGATTCTGACAAGTCTAGGATTGCAGAAAGACCAGGACACCCACTCTTATTTGCTAAAGATGGGCTCTCCTTTAAACCTCAGAGGGGACTTTTAAGTCATAAACATTCAAGAGGTAAGTAAATAGGACCCAAGCTATAATCTACTCAGATCCTTTTGTTTTCACTGAAAGGAAAACCAAGGTACCATGTGACAACATAGCTTTGGCCGCAAAGCCAAAACTAAAGTCAGGCTTCCTCACTCCCGTTTCCTTAGTGTGATGGTGCTTTAGGCACCCAGCTGTGTCCGACCCTTCGCAGCCCCATGGACCACAGCCCGCCAGGCTCCTCTGTTTATGGGATTTCCCAGGCAAGAATACTGGAGTGGGTTGCCATTTCCTTCTCCAGGGGATCTTTCCAATTCAGGGATCCAACCAGGTCTCCTGCACTGCAGGTGGATTCTTTACTGCCAAGCCACTAGGAAAGCCCTGTTACATTAGTACAAACTCCCAACAGTTTCCTTGCATGGCAAACCCTCATCCTCTGACGGATCTCATCACACTTTCTTGTTTATCACTGGCCCTAAGCTCCCAGTCACTTCCCAGGTGGCCTTAGAGGTAAAGAACGAGCCAGCCAATGCAGCAGACTTAAGAGACCTGGGTTTGATCCCTGGGTTAGGAAGATCCCCTGGAGAAGGGAAAGGTAACCCAGTTCAGTATTCCTGCCTGGAGAACCACGTGGCAGAAGAGCCTGGTGGCCTACAGCCCACAGGGCCACGCAGTCGGACAGGACTGCAGTGACTTAGCACGCAAGCTCCAAGTGTAGAACCTTGTACACAGAAAATGCTCGCTAAGTATTCACTCAAAGAATGAATACTCAAGTCCATATTCTTATGTGCGGCGTTTCTGGGCCACAAGAATATGTCTTTTACATTTTTATGGGTCGTGCCAGGGATTTCTACAAAATGATTCTGCTACTTGCTTCTCCCACCAACTTTGTGGGAAGGTGTCTGTCTGTCTGACTGTTCCCAACAATGACTGTCTTAAGGCTTTTAAGTTTCATCATTGAGATATTAAAAAACATACTTAAATGTTCTAATATTCTTCTTCCTTGATTATGAGAGGATGAGCATTTTTTCATCAGCTTTTGAGCATTTTCTTTGTTTTTTTTTAATTGTTTAGAATAAATAGAATTGTCTATTCATGCCCCTTGCTTCTATTATTACTGAGCAGTTTCTTAATGGTAATTTAAAAGTTTCTTTTATGCTAAGCAAAATAGCTCTTTTTTCCATCAGCTGAATTGCAAATGTTTTTCCCTATATTTTATTTTGACTGCCTTTACTATAGTTTCTTTTGATATGCATGTATGAAATTTGTATATCATTGACTCTGTCAATGCTTCTTTTATGATTCAGGGTTTTATATCATATTTTTAAAGACTTTCCCATGGCAAGATTATTTTTAGAATCAATAATGCTCTTTTCTAGTTTTGTTTATGATTTAAATTTATATATTGATTCTCCAGAAATATATTTTGATGGCAGAGGTAGGGATCTAGCTGACGAAATATTTGGGGATTGTCCAACAATATAAAATGAAGGAAATCCAGAAATAAGGGGGTAAATGTATATGTGTTACTTATTCACTTTGATGTACAGCAGAAACGAGCACATTGAAAAGCAGATACACTTCCAGAAAAATTTTAGAAATTAAAAAAGCCCAGTTACCTTAAAAATAACCATGACTGGGTCAGAGGTGACAACTGGGTGGTATCCAACATAGCTTTGCCTTGGGGAATTCAAGTTTTGTGTTAGTCAGTTCAGGCAATTCAGCCAATTCAGCATCACTTGCCGCCTCCCAGCCTCTCACTGTTCTATCTCTTCGCAGATTAGTTGCCAGGCTGTATACACACATGCTCTTGAATTTAAAGTCAGGAAACATGGGTTCTAATCCAAAATCTGCCTGCTTGTGTGACTTGAAGCAAGTATCTTTACTTCCCAGAGTTGCAATTTGTTTACAAAATGAAGCTATGAGTCGAGAACCACCAAGATTTTTCCAGAAATAAAATCCTACCGTCCCATAGTGTCTTCCAGCTTCCACTTCACATCTACAGACATTATAAATAATCCACAGTTGGAAAGCCTATTGGAATCTGAAAATTATTTAAGGTATGCTCATCCTTTATCTTCCTCATCCACAAAAGAACTTTTACTTGCGATGTTCCCTCTGCCCAGAGTGTTTTTCTTACAATCACCTGCATGTTGCTTGGCTCCCCTTCCCTCCAGATTCTGATCAAATGCAACTCTGGTAGAGCCTTCACTTACCACCTTAATAACATAACAAGCTCCACTTCCAAATCTGTTCTTTTAACTTTACTCTGCTAAAGCTTTCTGCGTAGAACTTTTGCCACCTGACATATTACGTATGTACATATTGTTGCATTCCCAAAATAGTATGAGCATCAGTCAGCTTTTGCCGCAGCAACAAATGGCCTCAGCACCCCAGCGGCCGACGACAGCAAATATTCATCTCTCGCTTGTGTCGCCTGATGGCTGTGGGCAGGCTGCAGCGTTTCTTCATTCTCCTGAGCACACCAGGCTTGGCTAGGCTGGCTTCCACTTCAGGACTTGAGTTGAAAAAATATATTTTCTCTAGGATAAAATGTCCTTATGGTGAAGGGCAGGAATATGAAAGGAAGCAGAGCCAAAGCAGGAAATCTCATTTTAAAATTCTGCTCAGATGTGACAGTCACATCTGCTCAAATTCCATTAGCTGAAGCATGTCATGTAACCAAGCACAGAGTCAAAAAGTCAAGTAGAGTATATGTCAAGTCACATGGCACTCAATTGGAATCTAATTAGATTCAATAATCCTATTGTTAAAAACAATAATCCAATAAACCAAAAAATATAAACTCTAGCACTTAATTCTTTTCCTGAACCATCTGTAAGACCTAGAAGAGAAGACATTCAATAAATTTTATTTGATGGATTAAAAAAAAACAAACACCACCCTTTCATCCTTCCTAGTTCCACTCTGACTTCTAGAACATACCCCAGCTTGGCCCACACTTACCACCATAGATTTGATCTGGCAAGGAGAGATGAGAGGGACTGAAGAATCTTTTTATGGCCCTTGTAAGCCAGATATTATGGGATAATGAGAGATACTTTGAGCTTTGAAATGAAAGTGTCTTATTGGGCCTCCTTGAACAAAGTGCTTTTCTCACAAATGTCAGCATCAGTGTTCACACACTGCTCATTTCATGTTGGGGATATGGTGGCGCTTGGGGCCTAAAGCATCATCACATGGCAAATTCTACCACCCCCACCTGCTTTTCTCCCCCTTGGCATCGGCCTCTCCTGAGACAGGGTGGGAAGCAGACGCTGTCAAGAAGGGCAGATAAAACCTAACTCTTCCTTCCCTTGGTGACTCAGAACAGCTTTTTTGGGTAAGTTATTTCATGGGAAGATTTCAAACTGAAATATTGGTTTAGCCAGAACGTTTGTTCAAGATTTTCATAACATCTTCTTGAAAAACCTGAATGAAATTTTTACCAATCCAATATACAAAATACCTAAATAATCATGTATCCTCTTTCCTAAGCCACTAAGCGCAGGTATCAGTGGCTAAGAGCTTGTGTTCTAGAGGCCAAGAGATTGGTTTTATATTCCTGGTGTATTTTTTTAGCTGGTTAATTTTAGGTTGTTTCTTCTTTCTCTAAGCCTCAGTCCTCAAATTCATAAACCTGTATCATTCTGAGAATTTAAAAAGCAATGTGTTAAAGGTTTAGCATAATACTGGCACACAGCAAGCACTTAATAAATGGTATCTGTTATTTCCCAGAGTATTTGACTATGGAGTGACTCATTGTAGTCTCAGCGTTACTCCATTTTACCCATGAAGAGGAAAAGGGAAGTGGAATATGAAATATATTCGATGCTACACATTCAGGGTTGCAACTCAGGTTTCATATCATTCCTCTGTTCTCTGAATACAAACGGCAGAGCAGATAAACCTGTATTAAAACATTTATCCAGTTCCTACTTATAAACGTGTGATGGGAGGCCCTCCTCCCCCACCCTCTGGGGCTGTTTCCCATAGGAGATTCTCTGGAGCACTGGTTTCTGAGGCTGTTAATAGCCGTTCCAGGAGAAAGGGTCTGTGATCCAACAAGTTTAATGTTCAATTTAAAAGGCTGAGCAGTTTTTCTGTTTTTGCAGAGCCTTTAGTATGCTAATGTTCATTTTGAATCTCCAAGAGGGAAGTGCAGAATCGAGTATTTCCCATTTTTATTTGACCATAAAATTCTGTCTCTCCCATCCTTGCTCCACAAAGAGAGAGCCTTTTGTAGGACACTATGAAATACTCCAAGGGCAGCTTAAAAGGGATGCTAACAAGACACAGATGCTGAAGAACGTAGGAGGGGCACCAGGGGCTGGGTATATAAAACAAGTGCAGAAATGAAATGGGTAAATAAAAACTCTATAGACTCCGAGGGAAACTGGAATAGTGAGGTCGTTTTGTAGAGTGGCAAGTTTTGTGGTGACGTGCATGATGAGATTGAGAGGAGCCAAGGGTTTGACTTTATTCCGTGAGGCTTTAACCTGGGGCAACAACGCCACCCCATTCCCAGTGACAAAGGGCGCTCTTTCTAGGTTTGCATCCCTTATATTCTCGGCTAATGACTGTTCATATTTTAGTCTGGCAGCTCATCTAATTATGCTCTTTCCTATCCTTCAAATCCTCTTAGCTCCTAGCATTTCGCCCTTAAAATTGAGTTGGTTCAGTGCTCCGATGTTATAGAAACCAAACTCTATTACTACTTGCAGAGCCAATGTCACCAATGACTTAATGGAGATTCCCTGAGGACTGCCTGATGAAGCACAGGCCTCTGTGTGTGTGAAAATAAATCTGTTGCAGATTTCTTTCTTTTTCTAGTTTTGTTTTCTTCCATATAATATTCTCATGTTGTCTCTGAAAAACATTAAGGATTTATAAGTAGCTAGATACCTAAGTAAAAATATGAAACTTCTTGGTATTTTTAAGTGTATCAACAGCAAATGTATTTTTTACTGTTTGAGATCATTTAAACATATTATTCAACTTGATTCTGTCAGTGTCCAGCTAAGGCGTCAGTGAAGGCGTTATTGGCCACACTCGATGCTGAGTTTTAGAGAACAGAGGTAGTTCCATGGTAATTGCGTATTTAGGCTCTCTTCTCAAGAGTACTTGAGAAAGTTATTGTTTTTAAATGAATAGGTGTTTCTTTCAGAATTTATGTTCCAGGACCTCTCTGGTGGCCCAGTGGTTAAGACTCTGTGCGTCCAATGCAGGGGGTGTAGGTTTCATCCCTGGTTGGGAAACTAAGATCCCACAAGGCACAGGATATGGTCAAAAATAAAAAAGAAAAGCATTTATGTTCTTTGAAAGTGTTCCAGTCTCACAAACCCCGAAAGAGCCAAGTATCCATGTCAACGTGAACCAATCATGTCATTTTTCAACAAGAGAGAGAGGGTTTGGACAGCGCTTGCAAGCAGGATAATGTCAGTGGGTCACAGGACAAGTGGCCGGCTGCCTCCCAGTTACAGCCCTGGTCTGGAATTTATCTCAGACTTCATATCCATTTACCGTCTGCTGAATACTTCCGCTGAGACGTTCCAGAGCTACCACACACACATGTCAAGCATCCGTCTCAACAGCTCAACCCCACTCCCATCCTCTGCTCTGGTAACCTTGATTTTAGCACCCACCCTGAAGTCTCGACTTTTCCCTCCTCCTACCTTAGTTGCAAATTAACACCCAGTTCCCATCACTTTCTCTTAACCTTTCCTCCAGTCTCTCTTGTCTGTCCCTTTGCCCATCACCCACACCATGTGTAACCTCAACCACTGCTTAGAGGCCAATCTCACTGCCTCCATTCTTGTCCCCTTCAAACTTTCCACACGCTGATAATCTCTAGAGGGGCTTATTTAAAAACAAATTGGTTTGTGGGGCATAAATTAGCCTTAAAAGTGCATTCCACTGTACATTAGGTGCAAACAAATACTGTTGGATTCCACTTATATGAGGTGTGTAGAGCAGTCAGATTCACAGAGTCAGAAAGTACAGTTGGTAAGTGCCAGGGGCTGGGGTGGGGAAGGGGAACGGAAGCTGGTGTTTAATGGGGACAGGGTCTCAGTTTAGGAAGGTGAAAAATGTGGGAGAGAGATGATGGCGAGAGTTGTGCGGCAATGTGAATGTGCTCAGTGCCCCTGAAATGTACAGTTAAATATGGTTAAGACTGTGTTTTATGGTATGTGACTTTTACCACAATAAAAAAGCATTAAAACCCCCAGCAAATTGGATCATACTATTAACCTGTTTCAAAGTCTTCACTGACTACTACTATTTCACTGACTACTTCATTGTCTACTCCTAACGGGAAAGAGTCCTACTCCTTCACGTGGTTCATGCAATCTTCTGTGTGTGGCTTGACCTGACTCTCTGTCCTCCTCCTGTTCCCACCCAGTAATTATTGTCCCGGGAACCCTGAAATATTTGTGCTTTGGTGCATTAGTCATGCTGTGCTTTTTACCCTATGCTCTCTTTTGTTTATAATCATTTCCTCCATGTAATATGATACCACTCTCGTCCTTTCCTTCCTTTTCTCTTTTAATTAAAAAAAATGCCTTAATCTGGGCATACACACCAAGGAAACCAGATCTGAAAGAGACACATGCACCCCAATGTTCATCGCAGCACTGTTTATAATAGCCAGGACATGGAAGCAACCCAGATGCCCATCAGCAGACGAATGGATGAGGAAGCTGTGGTACATATACACCATGGAATATTACTCAGCCATTAAAAAGAATTCATTTGAATCAGTTCTAATGAGATGGATGAAACTGGAGCCCATTATACAGAGCGAAGTAAGCCAGAAAGATAAAGACCATTACAGTATACTAACACATATATATGGAATTTAGAAAGATGGTAACGATAACCCTATATGCAAAACAGAAAAAGAGACTCAGATGTATAGAACAGACTTGTGGACTCTGGGAGAAGGCGAGGGTGGGATGTTTCAAGAGAACAGCATTGAAACATGTATATTATCTAGGGTGAAACAGATCACCAGCCCAGGTTGGGTGCATGAGACAAGTGCTCGGGCCTGGTGCACTGGGAAGACCCAGAGGGATCGGGTGGAGAGGGAGGTGGGAGGGGGGACTGGGATGGGGAATACATGTAAATCCATGGCTAATTCATTTCAATGTATGACAAAAACTACTGTAATGATGTAAAGTAATTAGCCTAAAAAAAAAATAAATTAATTGAAAAAATTAAAAAAAAAAAAAACCTATTTTAAAAAGCTGTTCAGGGATCAAGAGCTTTAACCATCTTGCCTGGACTCCTCTCTTCCCTGTTCCACCCAGATCACATTAGGCTTTGCTCCTGATTATGCTTATGATCATCACAAATGCTTGCTACATTATGGAATAGTTACTCTGATGTGGCTCTGTCTCCCCTACTCATCTGGAAATTACTTGTAGGTAAGGACTCAGTCTTAAAATTTTTTTTGTTTCTCAACAACTGGCACAGTACTAGGCAGAAAGTAGGCACTCCATGAACATTTCTGAAATGAATAATAATTCAAAGACATAGGTCACTTTTAGAAATGCTTCTGTAAATCTGAGGAATCACTTATGACAACAACATGACCTGCAAAACATAGAAAGACAGTTGCTATGTGGGCATATCTGGGAAGGAATTTAACAAATTACGTGATGCTGGAAAAGCCCCAGATCTGTGTGATGATTCTGTCTATAAGCATCTGGATCATAGTGTTTCTATACTTGCAGAAGATGTCTCTGAGCACTGGGGAGAACCAGCTGTGCGTCTTCAATGAGGCTGGCACTGTCTGCTTCTCTCTGCCTCCATCAACTTGGGTACCATGAAAAGAAGAAAAAGAAGTCTACTCTTTTATACTCTTTTTCAGATTCTCTCCCCTCCCCCTTCCTACTCCTCTGTTGGAAAGGGGAGCAGGGAATTTACAGTTTTCTCATGGGTCCAATCCATTAAGTGGTCTTACCTCTGAAAAATTATTGTATGTAAGTGAGAGTTTGGGGACATTTTTCTGTCAAGGAGAGAGTAAGAAAGGCCCTTTCTTTCTTTCTCAAATGTTGTTGTTGTTCAGTCGCTAAGCTGTGCCTGACTGTTTGCAACCCCAGCACACTAGGCTCCTCTGTCCTCCACTATCTCCCAGAGTTTGAATTAAACTCGTGTCCATGGAGTCAATGATGCCATCCAACCGTCTCATCCTCTGCCACTTCCTTCTCCTCTTGCCTTCAATCTTTCCCAGCATCAGGCTCTTGGCATCAAGTGGCCAAAGTATTGGAGCTTCAGCTTCGGCATCAGTCTTTCCGATGAATACTTATGCTTTAAATGTCATATTGTCTTTTTAGATGTTGCCTTCTTTTTTGGCTGTGTGGTTTATTTTCCCCTTTAAAGAGGCATTTATTAAGCCTGTGTTGTGCCTCCAGCCCTGTTGAGGATGCAAAGCAAATGCAGGTCTCCAGCTCTGTCCTCAAAGATCCCAGACACTCTGGGTGGGGAGAAAATGCAAACAAGTATGTGCGTCAAATATGCTGCATATAATCAAGACTGTGGACCCCTCCTGTGGCCCCTGTCAGCAAGATTCAACCTTTTCCTTCACTTGATTAAACTGATGAACTTCAAATGCTGACCCATGTACAAAACTAGAATAAGGGGCCAACTGTTACTGCCCACTTTCTGTTTCTAAATGATAATTGCAGAAAATTCTAGTCATGCGCTTCCCCCACCTCCATTTGTCTATACAAAGGGAGGGCTGCAATTCTCAAAGACACGTACATATGAATCAGTCCCACCGGAGACACAGCACATACTTATTACTCGGCAGCTTCTGATTTGGTGCTAGAGATGCCGACTGCCTCCATTCAATGCTGCATCTTAACAATGTTCCTGGGGGCCCAGTCACTAGGGCTTCACACTCCCACTGCAAGGGTCTGGGTTTGATCTCTGATTAGGGAACTAGACCCCAGTTATAGCAACTGAAAGATCCCAAATGCCACAACTAAGACCTGGCACAGCCAAATAAGTATGTTTTATTTTTTTTAATGTTAAGTCTTTATAATAATGCATTTATCCTTTGCCTCATACTCTTTGCACACTTAACTATTACTGAGATGCTGCTGCTTTCTTTTTAAGCCGGTGCTCACCGTAAGAGCTGGGCTGCCGAGAGCAGCCGCCGCTGTGCCTCTTGTCTCCTCTCCCGTCAGGTCTCCGCCTTGCCCCACTTCCTTCTGGGCACACACTGCCTCCCTGCCCATCCAGCTTCAGTGATTCCCACAGTTCAGCACGTCAAGGTCTCAGTCTGCTGGCCCCGAGTGCCTCTGTCCAGACCCACCTGCCTGTGTGACTTCATCTCCCTCCTCCTGTTCCTTCATATAAAACAACTCCACTCTCATCCCTTCCTTCCATTTTCTCGTTTTTTAAAAAAGCTATAGAACACAAAGTTGCTTTAGAGAAAACACAACTCAAAAGGAGAGGTTTGTTTTTCCTAACACTTTTGTCCCAGAGATAGATGACAATATAATAATGCATATAATAATCAAACCAGAGGATGAGATCTGAGTGAACACATCCTCTTTATAGATCCCTTGAAATGTAGATCTTCAAGAGTGTTGGGCCATGAACAGCCTTTCTAAGCCTTTCAACAATCTGACGTTGCTGATTGCCACATCAGGACCCATGAGCACTTTGGGAAAGAGACACTGAATAAATTTTAAACGTGTTGAAATAAAAATAAGAGGAAAAACACCTGAAGGAAATCGTGGTGAAAATGTTGATTGACCTGGGTTTCCAGGATTGCTTTTGAATTCATCTTCCTGAGAAGATGAAGAATCTCAAGGGAGCCACTTCAGTTACCACTTTCAGGGAGATAAAGTAAGGTGATTATTGAAGCAAGCAACAAATAGAAACACCAGAACAATCCGGATAGAAACAGTTTGTTGGACTGAATCATGGAATTTTAAATTGAACTATATTTAGTACATGAAAATAATTGAATTTGGAACCTTGCCAGATGTTGATTAATTCTAGTCAAAGTATTCAAAATTTTCTGTTCTGAGTGAAAGGAAAAACACTCACTTTTCCATATTGAGGACTGAGCATATCTAAACATAAAAGTTTTTTTTCCCCTAAATCTTAAAAGCTCCTAATAGACTTATATATGGTCATCTCATGTAATTAAGTATGTGCCCATTAGCAAGATGGTATTTTGGAAAAGATGCTGTCCCAGAAGTCAGGAGCCCCGAGCTGTGTGTGGCTATTGCTGCCATCTTGATCAATCATTCATCCTGCTGGGCTCCCATTTCCTCGTCTATAAAATGAAGACCTTAATGCTATCTCTAAGCTCTTCTCAAGCTCTACAATTCTGAAGCTAGAGCATATTTGAATAAATGACCTTTCTTAGTGGAGCTCAATTATGGAAGGATGAGAGGTACGCTTGCACACAGAACCAGGGGACCCACATCCTGGCTGTGCATGTGCTAGCTGGTGAGCGTGGACAAGTGGACAAGTTTAATCTCCCCTACCTTGAGTGGAAGCACCCCCAAACAGTGGGACTCTCTGAGTTGGCCTTTGTGTTAATGCTCTTTTCTTCTCTTTGGATTTGAAAGCTTATCTCTGAAACTCCAGTATGCAGGGCCTAAACATTGAGGAAAAGAAGAAAGGTTTTGTTAGCTCACATGAGTTCATCCCTTCCACTTTAACAACTCTTCATATAAGACTTTCTACATTTCTTTCATTGGTAATTTGGGGAAAAGATTAAAGAGTCATTGCTAACTGTAGATTTCTCTCATCTGCAAGTGTGTTCCTTGGACAAGTGTGATTCCTAAGTCAGTAGGATTTGGGGTCCTTTCTGATTTACAGTCTGGTTCACTGGAAGCCTGGCTTACTTGACCCTTCCTGGTCATTGGCCAAGGCCCCACTAATGGGCTTTTCTCTGCCAGTTTCCTTGGGGATTCTCAGAGGAAGGGGAGACCTCTGAACTGTTGGGATGGAACGTCAATAAAACTGAATCTCTAGATAGACAGCATCTTCTCTACACGCGTTCTGCATGTGCACCCATGTGTGTGTGTGTGCGCATGCTCACATGCTGCTGAGCTTATGGTGACGCTCTGTATGGACAGGGCGTGAGCAGTTCCTGTCTCCTTAACTGGCTGTTACTGTTTCATGCAAAGAGCTTTCATCAGTGCTGGGAAGCCACGGGTACCTGACTGCATGTGATCGGTTGTAGAAGCGTCCCTTGGCCGGTGCCTTCTTCCGTGCAATTCTCACTCTGTTCCTCCTAAACCTCTCCTTTATTTCCAAGCCTAGCCTTCACATTTGTGTTATTGTTTTCATGGTTTCACAGTTACACTGAAGCTGTGCCTTTTGGGGTATTCTGTGTTTAATATTTTTGTAAAAAAATTAAGTATCACACACACAAATGCAAATCTGTGAGAGAGACAGGGTCCTTCAACACAAGACTAAGGTTAGCTCATTTTCTCAGTGTAGAAATAATACATAAAGCTAATTATTGGACTTGTTGCAGGAGCAGAAGCTTTAAAAGAGGGAACATTCCCTCCGGTAGAGGGAGATAAGATAGAGGAAATTTTGAGTGTAGTGACTTAATTAAGGAAGTTATTAAGACCCTAATAAACAGCACTGATCACATTGTCACTTAAGCAGTTATTTTTTGCTTGTATTTTGGTTTGTGTAGAAAATAGGTCTTCACTTTGGAAGGTATCACTGAAATCTAAACATAGAGAAGTCAAATATAGTTTATTAGAAGATGAATGGTGTGAATTCTGATGAAAATTTTAAATTGTATTTGTTGGTTGTATTTTTAAATTTTTTTGCAACCAGTGATTTATTTCCTCCTTTCCCACGTTTAGAAATTCTTAGGATCCCTCAGACAGTTCCTTCTGGAACGAGATTCCCTCTTCTCCCCAAGCCAGCCCCAGTGGGTTCACCTTTATAATCTCTGGAAATGGAACAAGAGGTAAGATGTGTGAATGTTTTTTCACTGGGAAAATATTTATTGTTTTTAATTTGCCTTCCAGTGTTCAAATATTAGTTCATAAAATAGTTGTTGGAAATATTTCCAACAAAATTTGTTTATTAGATTTGTTAAAACTATTTTTATCAGGCAGTTTGGAGGGAGTGTGGAACTTTGGAAAAACCCACAGCTGAGTGAGGACAAAACATACCTAATCAAAGGAAGGATCCAGTAAGAAAATGGATTTACCAATCTCTGAGAAAACCCTTTCCAGTCATTCATACTAAACAACAAAGTCCTTTATCTAACATGATTTAATCACCAAGGGTCTCCAGATGTTCAAAGGAAATCTATAGCATGAAAAAGAAACACCAAAGTAAACAAACAGAATAATTGGCATTGGAGAAAACCAGGATAATTCAGATAGCAGAAGTTAACTTCTTAAGAAGTCTATTCTCTGCAAAATTCAGGAGTCTGCACGTATATAAAAACACACTGCTTTTTAGAAAGGAGCAATAAAGAAAAAAAATTGGAAAAATGTGTAAAATCATTGACTTAAGAAATAAACTTTGGATTTAATAAATTATTAAATGTATACATCTGACTTCTTGTGATCTAGCAATATGGATGATAGAGCAGAGAAAATTTCCCACAACCTAGAACATAACATCTTAGAAGTAGGGTTTCTGAGGGACAGCAGGTAGGAGAATATAATTAAAGAGATCAAAGAAGAAAATGCCTCTGTTTTCAGTCTTCGGTCTACCAAGTGCCAAGCAGCATTAGAAAGCCTTCCTTTGTAGATATACCCTATTGAAAATTTACAACCTCAAGGATAAAGAGAAAAATCATAAAAACAGAGAAGAAGGAAACAAATCACCCGCAAGAGAAGGGAGCCGGCTTGATCTGTGATTTCTCGTTACTAACGACAGGTGCCAAAGAAAACGGAGCAGCGTTTTCAAAATTCTTACAGTAAGAGAGTTTGAATAAAAAAATTTATACTACAATTTATTTTCAAGCACATATTCAGACACATTTTCAGGACTGAGAAAGTCTACTGTGCATACAGCCTGTACTTTAATTTGCCAAGAAAATAGCACACTCGAGCAAAGCAAGTTTTTCAGGATGAGGGTGGTGTGCGGCAAACAAAATACTGATAACCACTGTCACTCAGAATCAGAAAGATGGCAATTAAATCTAAGGAAGACTCACGAGGCCTTGATTTTTGGAAGCTTCTCCTATGAATGGCAAGGCTTTATTGACATGGAGTTATCATTTGTGGCTTCTGCCGTAATATTTGATTCTACAGGGAATAATGTTTACATGTTTATATTGTACATGCTATTTGGAGTTTCATTTTTAAAATCATCCTTCAGGGAAAACACAGAAGATATGTTTATGTAAGAGAATACAGAGATAGATTGAAGGACAGATAGATGATAGATAGATTTATTGTTGTTCAGTTGCTGAGTTGTGCCCAGCTCTTTGCAGCCCCGCAGGGTGCAGCGCTCCAGGCCCCTCCATTCTCCACTTTCTCATATAGTTTGCTCCACTTCATGTCCATTGAGTCAGTGATGCTGTCTAACCATGTCATCCTCTGCAGAAGAGGGCGGCGGAGGGTGAGACAGATCGATAGATTAGATAGATATAGATACAGGTTGGTGGATTGTTATAAAGCCTACAAGTATAGAAGTAAAGGTATAACTAAAAATATTTGGGAAGTTGACTGAGAAAAAGAGGTGAGAGGAAAATTAATGTGATAACTTCCTCCAGGTTCTTTGCAGAGGATCAGTAGACAGTGGCTAAGGTTTATAAATCTAGAAATAGAAGTATGACAGCAATGAGGAGAATCAAGTCAGCGGGAGAGGTTAACAAAGTTTCTCTCTGGGGAGGCAGAGTAGCCGGGCTGCCATAGGAAAATATTAAGAGTCTTAGACTTTATATTTCACATCTTCTCTACTGTTTTAAAATTTGTTGCTGTGCCCATAGAATACTTCTATGATTAAAAGCTAGCTTATGAAAATAGAAGAAAGCATATAAAAATGAACTTGTGGTTAATCCATCTTTTCACTGTGGAAAATGGAAAACTCAATTCATTACCTGCATATGGTTTTCAGTGCATTCAGGAACACAAAGGAACATTAAAAACATTTCAGTTGTTCATAAAAGTTGTAAAAAACTTAGTTTTTTCATTTAACTTGATTTTGAACTATTAATATAAGCTAATATATACCACTGTTTGTCAAAAACACAAGACAGAAAAATCTATCCCTTAGTGTTAAGTATATTAAAATAAAATTTTTAGTTAATTGTAAGTATTAGTTTCATGCTATGCACTAAATCTGTGTGAAAGATTGTGGGGGAAACAAAAAGGAAAAGAAAAATGAATTTTCTCATGATAACTACATGAAAGTGTGTAAATCATCAAATAATTGTATTTTTAAATGTTATCTTTTGATTGAATGTATATCAGTGTGGGAAAAAGCCAGTATTAACCCTTTCCTAAGTTATTGGGTCTAGTAAATAAACTAGTGGTCATTACCTATGATCTCTATGAGAAATATGTATAGAACAGTAGAAACTTGCTAAGATCCTGAAGCATCACATTTGGAAATAGGGTTATATGAAAAGCTTTTCCAAAAGAACTAACTCTAAAGGAAAAAAAAAATAGTCCATAAAGTGTAAGGATAGCATCTGGGATTATATTTTACAAAACCTTCCTATCATCCATGGTGGTGGTTGATAAAGTCAACTGCATGAAAGATGAAAAGAGGTTTTGCTTTTTTGAAAAAGAAATTTAGAAGTACCAGTGAGAGGAGAAAGTTCTCATCTAGAAATACCTGGTATTAAGAAGATAAAAAAATACTTATCTCAGTCAGAAAAAAAGACATATTCTTTAACATCATTTTGTAACCAAATTTTCCAAAATGCCAGGATGAGTGAGAAGCAAGTAACCAGTTGGGAGCTGTGGATTGGCAAAGTTCAAGATGAAAATGGTAAGTTTTGTTTTAGTTTGAAAAGAGTAAATGGATTTAGAAAATCAATGATTGATAATTTTGGAGTCTGTTGAAAAAAAGTAAGTAAACAATGCCTGAAAAGTTGCATTTCTTTAAAATATGCTCTATTTTTGGCATTTATTTAGCAGATATTTATTTAGTGCTTACTACATATCAGGCACTATACTAGGTGCTGATAACATATCAATGAACTTAGTTCTTCTTTAAATTTGTGATAAAGATACAACTAACAGCTATTTTGGTCAATAGTGTTGCCTCTTATTGAAGAGATTGTCTTTTCTCCATTATGTATTCTTGCCCCCTTTGTTGTAGACTAATTGACCATATGTGGCTGTGTTTATTTCTGGGCTGTTTATTCTATTCCATTGACCTGTGTATCTGTTTTTCTGTCATACAATTTTGATTACTGTAACCTTGTAGTATAATCTGGAGTGTGGTAGGATTATACCTCCAGATTTGTTCTTTTTTTCCAAGATTGCTTTGATCTGGGGGCCTTTTGTGCTTCCACATAAATTTTAGGATTATTTGTTTTAGTTCTGTGAAAATGTCATTAGTATTTTGATAGGGATTGCATTGAATCTAGATTGCTTTAGGTCGCCATGGACATTTTAACAGTATTAATTTTTCCGGTCATGAATGTGGGATATCTTCCCATTTATTTGTATCATCTTAAATTTGCTTCATCAAGGCCTTGGAGTTTTCAGAGTACAAGTCTTTTACCTCCGAAGTTGAAGTTGTTCCTAAGTATTTTATTCTTTTGATGTGATTGCGAATGGGATCATTCTTGATTTCTCTTTCATTATTAGTGTGCAGAAATACAGCAGATTTCTGCATATTTATCTTGTATCCTGCATTTATACTTAGTTCAGTTGTTAGTTCTAATAGTTGCTTTTTTATTTTGGTGGAGTCTTTAGGGTTTTATACATATATTATCATGTCATCAAAAAAAAGTGGTTTTACTCCTTCCAATTCAGGAAGTAGTTTACTCCTTCCTTCCAATTCAGATGTCTTTTATCTCTTTTTCTTATCCGATTGCTGTCATTAGGATTTCCAATACCATTTTAAATAAAAGTGTTAAGAGTGGACATTCTTATCTGATCTTAGAGGAGAAGCTTTTACCTTTTCACCATTGAGTATGATGTTAACTGTATATAAAATAAATGAGTTAAAAAGATATAATGTAAGCACAAGAAATGTAGCCCATATTTTATAACAACATTATATGGAATATAAACTAAAAACATCAAATCACAAATATTGTACACCTGAAACCATTACGGATAATTGGATTGAAGATTTACTGAGCATGTCGCTGCCCATCAGAACAAGACCCAGTTTCNAAGAATTGATGCTTTTGAACTGTAGTATTGGAGAAGACTCTTGAGAGTCCCCTGGACAGCAAGGAGATCGAACCTGTCCATCCTAAAGGAAATTAGTCCTGAATATTCATTGAAAGAACTGATGCTGAAGCTGAAACTCCAATACTTTGGCCACTTGTTGCTCAGAACTGACTGATTGGAAAAGACTCTGATACTGGGAAAGATTGACGGCAGGAGGGGAAGGGGACGACAGAGGATGAGATGGTTGGATGGCATCACTGACTTGATGGACGTGAGTTTCAACAAGCTCCGGAAATTGGTGATGGACAGGGAAGCCTGGCATGCTGCAGTCTATGGTTTCGCAAAGAGTCAGACGTGACTAAGCGACTGAACTGAACTGACACTAATACAATATTGTAAGTCAGTTGTGGATCCCAGCTGGTGCCAGTGGTAAAGAATCCACCTGCCAATGCAGGAGATGCAAGAGACACAGTTCTGACCCCTGGGAAGGTTTCCTGGAATAGAAAATGGCAACCCACTTCAATATTCCTGCCTAGAAAATTCCATGGGTGGAGGAGCCTGGCGGGCTACAGTCCTTGAGATCGCAATGAGTTGGACATGACTGAGCATGCATGCAGGCATGCTTCAATTAAAAAAAAAAAATAGAGCACAATGCGAAGAAGCAGGACATCCACAACAGAATAAAATCATTAGTTATATGTGGTGGAAAAAAGTTACCTCTTAATAGATAATTCTGTCTTTACTGAGAAAAAATAACACAAGTGATTCAGTGTCTGAGACTCAAATGATATTTCCTGGGAATGTTTTCTGTAGTTGGCAATGGCTGACAGCATCATAACTTGTGACAGCATCCTTCACCTGTGGGCACTCACCAGAATTTCAGACACTATGCCTCCAGTCTACCATCAGCCTGTTTGTTATATAGCTTGACTTGCAAAGCTAAACTCGCAAGTAGAAATGAATATTGTTAGAAGGTAATTCTTAAAGAAACAGGATGGCATGTTTGTTAAAAACAGAGACTTCAACACCAGACTCTAACACTGTGCTAGATTAGAATCCCAACCACTCTATCGTCAGTTCTTTTCATATAAAAAATGGATTAGCAACACTTCCTACTTCCTAGGGAGACTGTGGAAATCCAAAGAATTAAAATCATAACAGTATACTTTTACACATAGTATTCAATAAATGCTAGCTATTTAATGAGACAAGTGGAAAGAAAATAAATTTCAAAATGTAAAGGCAATAGAGGGTATGGAAGATCACATAGGGAAAAACATCTGTAAGGATCAGGAAGGTCCTAAAGAACAGTACGATTTAGGTAATAAGGATCAAAGGTGACAATGGAGAGTTACATACACCAAGGAGAGTGCAGGGCCAGTCTGTCAACACCACAGGGCTTCCCTGCCATGCTGAAATGGGTCTTGATGGTGCGTGCATGCGTGCTAAGCCATCTCAGTCATATCTGACTCTTTGCAACCCTATGGACTGTAGCCCGCCAGGCTTCTCTGTCCATAGGATTCTCCAGGCAAGAATACCAGAGTGGATTGCCATTTTCTACTCCAGCTTGATGGTGACCTACGTCTAAGACAGGTGTTTATCATTTCTTCTTTATATATCTCACTCCCAACTCATAAGGCTTCCTGATAAGTCTAACAGAAAATTGCTGAAAACTTAAAAATAATTATAGAGCTTCTGAAATGTACCTTGTGAACTGAGAGTTAGTAAAAGTCACTTGATATAAAATAATCATCTCTCTGAATCTTCAGGAAACATTTAGTTGGTTTTGTACACACTTTCTGACCATTTGTTATAGTATATCTGTAAATTGGAAGAAAGAGTACTGACTTTTTCCTGTATTATCCTAGAACCCACTAGAGTCTCAATGCTATATAGAAATGTAGACTCTATATAGATCAAGGGTCTCCAGTCTCCAAGATCTAATGCCTGATGATATGAGATGGAGCTGATATAATAAAATAGAAATAAAGTTCACAATGAATGCAGTGAACTTGAATCACCCCAAAACCATCTCCCCACCCCATCTGTGGAAAACCTGTCTTTCATAAAATCATTCCTTGGTGCCAAAAATGTTGGGGACCACTGATGTAGGTAATCTACTTAGAAGATTGAGCCATCAGTTCAGTTGCTCTGTCATGTCTGACTCTTTGAGACCCTGTGGACTGCAGCATGCCAGGCTTTCCTGTCCATCACCAATTTCCAGAGCTTGCTCAAACTCATGTACATCGAATCAGTAATACCATCCACCCATCTCATCCTCTGTCATCCCCTACTCCTCCTGCCTTCAGTCTTTCCAAGCATCAGGGTCTTTTCCAATTAGTCAGTTCTTTGCATAAGGTGGCCAAAATATTAAATATTCAGTCCTTCCAATGAATATTCAGGACTAGCTTCCTTTAAAATGGACTAGTTGGATCTCCTTGCTGTCCAAGGGACTCTCAAGAGTCTTCTCCAACACCACAGTTCAGAAGCATCAGTTCTTTGGTGCTCAGTTTTCTTTATGGTCCAACTCTCACATCCATACATGACTACTGGAAAAGCCATAGTTTTGACTAGACGGACCTTTGTAGGAGAAGATAAGCCTGTATGGACCTTTGTAGGAGAAGGTGAGTCCTTTGTAGAAGACCGATAAGACCATGAACATAACATCTAAGGGGAATAGAAAAAATATTGTCTAGTGTCTTATTTCAATGAAGACCCTAGAAAATAAGCATAAATACTTCTAAGTTCCATTATAGTCTCTTTTAGTGTAATCAATTCTTTGGTGCTCAGTTTTCTTTATGGTCCAACTCTCACATCCATACATGACTACTGGAAAAACCATAGTTTTGACTAGATGGACCTTTGTAGGAGAAGATAAGCCTGTATGGACCTTTGTAGGAGAAGGTGAGTCCTTTGTAGAAGACCGATAAGACTATGAACATAACATCTAAGGAGAATAGAAAAAATATTGTCTAGTGTCTTATTTCAATGAAGACCCTAGAAAATAAGCATAAATACTTCTAAGTTCCATTATAGTCTCTTTTAGTGTAGGTGATATTTAAGCACACAAGACGTTTTTGCACAATGCCAATGAAATAAATGTCCTGAACTGTGGTTTCTACTATTCACACGTGAAGACGTCAAGGTAGTTAACTTCCCATGTATATTGTATCACATTCTGTGAAGTTACTAAGCCATGATACGCATGTGTGGCTATAGAGAGATAGAAGCCAAAAGAAAAACACAGAGACACACACGTGGTCTATCATACATTCTGAAGGATAACAAGTTTAGCAAAAGGCAAACTACCAAGGGCCGAGGGAAGATGAAGAAAATGTAGTTGGAAGGATATTAAAGAATAATTTAATCTAACTATCTTATTTAACAGATGAGATACCAGTATTTTCAAGAGGTATGACAACTGTCCCAAAAGAACACAGCAAGATAGTGGCAGAACCAAGATAGGAGCCAGAGCTTGTTATGTGCTTAATCAGTGCTAAGCATTGCTCTGGATACCAAGGTGGCCTGTTCAGATGATGAACTATGGGGTTTTCATGTTTTTCTATTTTTCATTTCATGAGAATGCAATATTCACTTTTCTAAAACATAGCAATTAATGATAGAAGGATGATGAACTATGGGGTTTTCTTTTTTTCATTTCATTTCACTATTTCAGAATGCAATAGTCACTTTTATAAAAATAGCAGTTAGTGATAGAAATATTTTATATCAAGTATCTTCTGTGTGGTAGGCAGAGGCTAGGCATTTTTCAAGCATTCTCTGCAACATACTTCCTCTGAGAAATAGGTTGGTTCTGTTTTATAGCTATTTCTTTATTCTTAAAACAGTTTAGAGGCATCTCACAAACCACGATGCCATTGTTCTCACTTTTGGACTCAGCCCACAATATCCACTTCTCCATCTGCCCACCAGTCCCCTCCTTCACCTCTCCAGATATCCACCGCCCCCTTCTCTGTGGCATATCTGCCTTCACCTCCAGTTTGTGAACTCCTCTGAGAAAAGATTCTGCCTTTTGTTCTTCTCTGTCCATCATGGTGGGGATCACAAAGCTATGCACCCATAGGTCTTAAAAATATCATCAAGTTTGATTTTTTTAAGCGCAGAATCAGAGGGCTTGAGTATTTCTGATTAACTGGTTTTGTATTTTTATTAACTGAGTTATGTTTGCCAATATGGATTGCCAATTTTTTTAAGGGACTAGGCAATGTTAATGCCCTTCAACCAAAGGCTCTGCAGACCTTTTGCACAGAAGAAGGATGCCCAGCGGTGGGGAGCTCTGAGACCCTTCAGGGACGGCATGTCAGGGAGACGCTGTTACAGGATTGGGGCTTCTCAGGTGGCTCAGTGGCAAGGAATAGGCCTGCCAATGCAGGAGATGAAGGAGATGCAGGCTTGATCCCTGGGTTGGAAAGATCCCCTGGAGGAGGAATCGGCAACCCATTCCAGTATTCTTGCCTGGAGAATCCCATGGACAGAGGAGCCTGGTGGGCTACAGTCCACAGGGTTGCAGAGAGTCTGACAGGACTGAGCGACTAAACACGCACAGCACATATATTATATATAATAGTTGTATATCATAATAACATGTAATATCTAATAATTGTGTACCTGATGCGAAGAGCCAACTCATTGGAAAAGCCCGTGATGCTGGGAAAGATTGAAGGCTGGAGGAGAAGGTGATGACAGAGAATGAGATGGTTGGATGGCATCACTGACTCAATGAGCTTGAGTTTGAGCCAACTCCGGGAGATGGTGAAGGACAGGGAAGCCTGGCGTGCAGTCCATGGAGTCGCAAAAAGTCAGACACGACTTACTGACTGAACAACAATAATGTTAGTGTGGTATTATATATAATTATATGTTATATGTATTATAAAATAAATGTATACTTAGGGGACTTTTTCTGAAAACAATGGTCACTCTGGCAAACTCTGTTAGCACTTGCTCTCTCCAAACACTCTCTCCTCTTGCTTTTGCTGACACTACACTTCTCTGATTTTCTTTTGTATCTCTGACTTTGATACCGTTTCATAGGAATTTCTTTTTCTGTTTCCACACTCCCTCTCAGCTGATCTCATCCGTTCCTATAGTTTTAAATACTGTCTCTATGGTGACAGATTCTAAATTTATATCCACCTCAGGCCTCTCCTCTGACCTCCAGACTCATTTATCCAACTGCCTACCTGACATCTTCTCTTGAAATTTCTCTCAAACTCAAGGCCTCTAACAAGGAATTCATTGACTTTCTGTCTTAATGTCATTTCTCTTCTAGTCTTTGCATGGCTCTGAACAGCCCTACCATCTATCCAGATTCTCAAGCTTGCGACCTAGGAGTCAAACATGATACCTACGGACCTACAATCCCCATGTCTGATTCTCCAAAATGTACCTCGTGTCTCCTCCCTTCTCGTCTCCCCTTCAGCCAGCTCTGGTCCGAGCCTCCGTCTCCGTCTCCGTGACAGCAGCTCTTTTATTAGCCTCTCAGCTTCCATCTGGCCCCTCTTCCCAAGCTGTTCTCACAGCAGCCGAAGTTACCTTCCGTTTATCTACTGGATGTGCTGTGTAGCTTGTGGGGTCTTAGTCCCCTGGCCAGGACCAAACACCAGCCCTTGGCGGTGAAAGCGCAGAGTCCTGACTATTGGACCACAAGGAATTCCAAAATCATCTTTAAAAGCAAATACAGTTAAATACATTTAATTACACATAAATACAATTAAATCACTCTCCTCTCACCTTAAAATCCTTCAGTAAGTTTCCAATGCACTTTAAAATAAAGCCCAAAGTCTTGCCCATGGTCTGTGGCCTGCGTGACCTGTCCACTCCCTACATATTAGATTGATTCTCATCTTAGATGCCCCTCCCCCAACACATTATTCTTCAGATTTTTAAATATGTTTCCAAGGTATCAAACTCTCTCTTGTCTCAGGGCCTTTGAGCTAGCCGGGCCTGTGAGTGCAGCCCACCCCACAGGCCTCCCCCCTCTCCCTCCCTTCCCACGGACGGCCCCCTGCTCGTCCTTCAGTCTGCGCTTCAGTGTTCCCTCCAGAGAAAGTCTGTCCTTGACCTCCCTGTCTAATTAATGCCCCTGATTATAGTGTCATCAAGTCCTTTTCATTTCTTTGTTAACACTTACTGGAATGCGTAATTATCTCTGTTAATAGCTATCTCTCTCTCGAGACTAAAATAAAGTTTCCAACAAGGCAAGAGTAACAGCTGTTTTGCTTGTCACTCTGGTTCTGCCTCTAGCATATCAGTTAAGTTCAGTTCAGTTCAGTCGCTCAGTCGTGTCCGACTCTTTGCGACCCCATGAATCGCAGCACACCAGGTCTCCCTGTCCATCACCAACTCCCAGAGCTTACTCAAACTCATGCCCATCGAGTCGGTGATGCCATCCAGCCATCTCATCCTCTGTCGTCCCCTTCTCCTCCTGCCCCCAATCCCTCCTGCATCAGGGTCTTCTCCAACGAGTCAGCTCTTCACATGGGGTGGCCAAAGTACTGGAGTTTCAGCTTCAGCATCAGTCCTTCCAATGAACACCCAGGATTGATCTCCTTTAGGATGGACTGGTTGGATCTCCTTGCAGTCCAAAGGACTCTCAAGAGTCTTCTCCAACACCACAGTTCAAAAGCATCAATTCTTTGGTGCTCAGCTTTCTTCACAGTCCAACTCTCACATCCATACATGACCACTGGAAAAACCATAGCAGGTTGAAGCTGAACAGAGAGTGAGGAGATTCAGCCGTGGAAAAGAAGAAAAATCAGCATGTTCGGATGAAGACTGAAGGTCTAGACCAGATGCAGGAAGTCGAACAATTCACTTCAGGCTCTGTGGTAATCTGAATAACGACTACCCAAAGGTGTCCACATCCTAATTTCTAGTACAATAAGTCCCCTATATACAAATGAGTTCCATTCCAAGAGTCTGTTCAGGAGTCCAATTTAAGTCCAAGAAAGTTAGACTTAAGCCCAACAAAGGTAGACCCTAGTTACCCAACTAACACAATTGGCTATGTAGCACTGTACTGTCATAGGTTTATAGCACTTTTCATCCAAACAATACATAAAAAGTAAACACAAAAGCTAAGAAACATTTTTAAACTCACAGTACAATACTTTGCTTTGAAAAGTACAGAAGTACAGTACAACCGCCCGTGTACAGGGCTGGTATAGAGTGAACAGGCAAGAGTTCCTGACGGGGGGAGGGGGAGGAGGTGGGAGACGGTCCAGATGGAGGGTCGTCAGCAAAAGGAGATGCGGGCGAGCTGTAATTTCCCTCATGCTTGATGTGGATGGACCTCATGTTCACATCTTTGAAAGTTCACAGCGTGAAGGTTCATATGTGGGGACTTACCGCATCTGTTACCTTACGTGGAAAAAAGAGACTTGGTAGAGATGATAAATTAAGGATCTTAAAATAGAATCCTGGGCTATCCAGTGGCTGGATGCAAGAGGTCCGCTAAGGGGGAATCGGGAGGTGCAGAGTCAGAGATGGACGTGTGATGGCAGAAACAGAAGACAGCAGGGTCATAAACCAAGGGACGCAGGGGCCTTAAGAGGCGGGAAGCGTCAAGGAAATGGGTTTTCTCCTAGTGCCTTCAGGAGGAGCACAGCCCTGCCACCCATTAAAAACTCTGAACATCACAAATGTAAGAGAATAAATTTGTGTTGTTCTGAACTACTAAAGATGTGATCAGTTATAACTATAGCAGACGTCCCTGATGGTTCAGTGTTAAAGCATCCACCTGTAATGCAAGAAACATAGGAAATGAAGGTTCAATCTCTGGGTCGGGAGCATCCCCTGGAGAAGGGAATTGCAACCCACTCCTGTTCTTGCCTGAAAAATCCCAGGGACAGAGGAGCCTGGTGGGGTACAGTCCAAAGGGCCGCATCAGAACGTGCATAACTACAATAGGAAATTAATATAAACTCTAAGATTTATCTCTGAAATCTGTCTTACTTACTTAATTTTTTAAACTTTTATTGCTGTTGTCTCTCTGTACTAAAGTTTGTTATATAATAGAAGAGGCTACATCTCTGTTTTCCACTGTTTTATTTCTGGAACCTAGAACAAGGCCTAACACAGAATAGACTTTTAAATAAATGTTTCTTGGATCAATGAGAAGATGAACACAAATTCCTGTTCAATGGAGGTATTGTAAAGAGCAATGTGCAACTGTGTTTATAGGCTATTTGCAACTGTTGAAAAGAAACCAGTCTTTCCATTCTTCCCTGTCATTTTCCCCTTTTTCTTTCTCTCTTTTGCTTTTTTAAATTGGGATATAAGTGCTGTACAATGTTGTGTTAGTTCCCGCTGTGCCATGAAGTGAATCACCCTTTGTGTACACGTATCCCCTCCCTCTGGGCCTGCCTTCCCGCGCTGCCCTCCCTTCCCTCGAGGTCATCACACGGCACCGAGCTGAGGTCCCTGTGCTACGGCAGCCCCCCACTAGCTGTCTGCTTCACACATGGTAGTGTGCATGTCTCAGCTGTAACCCCCCAATCCATCCCGCCCCCCTCCCCTCCCACGTCCACGTATCCATTCTCTGTGTCTGCAGCTCTGTTCCTGCATTGCAAGTAGGTTCGTCTGTGCCATTTTTCGGATTCCACATGTATGCATAAATATATGATATTTATTTTTCTCTTTCTAACTTACTTCACTCTGCATGTCAGCTCTTGGTCCATCCACGTCTCTACAAATGACCCCATTTCATCCCTTTTTGTGGCTGAATAATATTCCATCGTGTATATGTACCACATCTTCCTTATCCGTTCATTTGTCAATAGCCACCCAGTTTACTTCTGTGTTCCAGCTGCTGTGAAGAGCGCGGCCGCCATCCCTCCGTCTCCCCCCTGTCTGAGCTCTCTGACTTCTCTCCCTACTTCTTCCTCCTCTCCTTGATGCCTTTTCACCCACACCTTTCTTGAGGCTCTCTACCCTTCTTTGTATTATAAAGACATACAAGTGTCCTGCTTGGGGATCCAGGAATGCTTGGCTCATATAAATACAGAGATACCCACTTCTTTTTTTAAATTTTTTTTAAATTGGAGGATAATTGCGTTACACTGCTGGTTTCTGCTGTATCCCAGTGTGAATCAGCTCTGAGTACACGTGTATTTCTCCCCTCTTCCGCCTCTCTCCCACCTTGCCCCATCATGCGCGTCTCGGGCATCACAGAGCACCAGGTCGAGCTCCCGGGCCACAGAACAGCTTCCCGTTGGCTCTGCTTTATACATGGTGGTGCGCGCGTGTCAGCCAGAGACAGCCGACTCTTGCTTAAATGGGTGTCGCCCATGCTGTCCTGTGCCTTCGATTAAATTTAGTATGTGATCATGATGTGTTCATTTACCTTAATTTGATTAGCCTGTCGTGTATTACCAGAGTCTCTGGTTCTGAAATTGCTCAAACTGATCACAGAAATGTACCATTATGTAGTGACTTGGAGAACGTTTGTTTTCAAGGGGCAGTCATGTCACATGCAGTGTTAATCAAGTGAGGCATATTAATTCCTCTAGGGTGAGGCAGTGCTGGAGAGGATGTTGGTGGCCCAGCTCTCTTTTTCTCGCAGGCCTGCTGGGTAATACCGTCACATACTCTGGTTTACCAGGCAGGGTCTGTGGGCATTTCTGGGTTGTCGATTTCAAACAAAATTATGTTAAAAATGTGTGAGAAAGAGAAATAGAGACAGAGAGAGAAAGGAGGCGAGCATTCTGGGATGCTCTGTGCTGTGCTGAGTCGCTGAGTCATGTCCAGCTCTTCATGACTCTGGGCTCTAGCCCACCGGCTCCTCTGTCCATGGGGATTCTCCAGGCAAGAATGCTGGAGTGGGCTGCCATGCCCTTCTCCAGGGGATCTTCCCAACCCAGGGATCAAACCCAGGTCTCCCACATTGCAGGCAGATTCTTTACTCTCTGAGCCACCAGGGAAGCCCATAATAGGATGGATTATATGAAAAAATATGACAAAATACAGATGACTCTAACTTTAAAAAAAGCTATTCTTTATTTGACTGTGTGGGGTCTTAGTTGCAACATGCAGGATTTTCCTTGAGGCATGTGGGATCTAGTTTTCTGACCGGGTGTTGAACCCAGGCCCCCTGCGCTGGGCCCACAGAGCCTTCGCCACTGGACCACCAGGGGAGTCCCAGCCTTTAAAACGTGGTGGTGGTTTCAGACATCCAGTGTTCGGTCAGGGAGAGCGTGTGCTCTTCCTCAGGAGGATAGTGACTGAGAGGGGTAGACGTCATGCCTCTGCAGTGCTGGCCCCTCTCACTTCTCCCCAGGAATGTAGGTGCTGGGGAGGGATTGTGAGCGGGGCTGGGAGGAGAACGGGCCTTCATTAGTGCAGGGCCCTCTGACTATTTCTGACACCTAGATTTGTGAACACCTTTCTTTTTTGAAGATCACAGCCTCACTGAGGCATTAATCCAAGCAGGCTTGCTTAGCACTCGTATATGTGCGGTGTGGGGTGGTGTGTGTGTGGGGTGGTGTGTGTGTGGGGTGGTGTGTGTGTGAGGTGCGTATCACAGACTTTTATTCTCTCTTGGACAGAGATAAAACTACAAAACACAAGGATAGGGATGTTCTTTCAACAATTAAGAGATAAATACACCTTTAAAACGTGGTGGTGGTTTCAGACATCCAGTGTTCGGTCAGGGAGAGCGTGTGCTCTTCCTCAGGAGGATAGTGACTGAGAGGGGTAGACGCCATGCCTCTGCAGTGCTGGCCCCTCTCACTTCTCCCCAGGAATGTAGGTGCTGGGGAGGGATTGTGAGCGGGGCTGGGAGGAGAAAGGGCCTTCATTAGTGCAGGGCCCTCTGATTATTTCTAACACCTAGATTTGTGAACACCTTTCTTTTTTGAAGATCACAGCCTCAATGAGGCATTAATCCAAGCAGGCTTGCTTAGCACTCGTATATATGCAGTGTGGGGTGGTGTGTGTGTGTGGGGTGCGTATCACAGACTTTTATTCTCTCTTGGACAGAGATAAAACTACAAAACACAAGGATAGGGATGTTCTTTCAACAATTAAGAGATAAATACCTCTTGGGTGGTTGATCCTACTGCTGATTT